TCCAAGTACTATAAAACACCACAGTATTATGGTGCATTTGTGCTGTAGTATGTGTGTTGTCAATTGAAATATGTAATTCTTATATATCAATATTTAAATTACAATTGAAATATTAGATTTGGGGTCAGTAACATTATTTTTATAGCAAGGATGCATTCAATTAATCAAAAGAGACAGTTAAGGCATTTATAGTGTTAAAACAAGATTTCAATTTCAAATAAATGGTGTTTTTAAAAAAAAAAAATTTTTTTTTACTTTCATTCATTAAAGAATCCTGGAAAAATGTATCATGATTTCCACACTTCATTAAGCAGCACAACTGTTTTCAACATTGATAATAAGAAATGTTTTTTTTTTTTGGGCAGAAAATCAGCATGGAGGGATCATGTGACACTAAAGACTGGAGTAATGACTGCTGAAAATTCAGCTTTGCCATCACAGGAATAAATGACATATTATATTGAAATAGAAAGCACTTATTTTAAATCGTAGTAACATTTTACAACATTACTGTTTACAGCCTTTTCGATCAAATAAAGGCAGCCCTGGCAAGCATAAGGGGCTTTTCAAAAGTCTTACCAGTCCTAAATTTCTGAACAGTAGGGTATAACAATGACACTGGATACAATTTTGGGATTGCACAACAAACAAATTACATTTCTCATACAGCATTACAACCCAATACAGAAATGCAAATCTATGATAATTCAATAATAAAATAACTTTCCTCACACTTTATAGGTGATATTTCACTTTTTGACTTTTTTTTCACCATACAAAGCATGCGAATTTTGTTAAACGGCACGTCTTTGTTTGATTGAAAAATTAACTAATAATTTAGCTAACCATTTATAAATTAAACTCACCATTCAGTTATAGTGTAAACATTATACAATGTAAAATATATATAAAAATAAATTAAACATTTGATAAACTGCATGCATTAATATATGAACTTTGACAGCACTAGTAATAACTTATGTACATTTAAAATGTAACCTTGGATGGGCATTGCTCTGCACAGTCAAGATATCAGCAAACAGGTGAAAAGATGAAAGATTTCATTAATACTAAGACCTCGGCTAGAAAGCAACATAAATACAAAAATGTGAGATAATCGCAACTTGTTGTGCATTTCAAATGTATTTTGTAATTGATTTTCTCACATCTATCTACCAGTCGGTGATCTAGCCCTATATGTATCGATTAAAGCTGTGTCGGGTTTGACATTAGCTATAATTACACTGAGATTCTGCCGTTGATTAGCTACAGGTCACAACGATTTTAGCCTGCTGTAAATTTAAGGGGGGGAAGGAGAAAAAAAACATAGAAAGAAGGTGACCTTGGTCCTGACATTATATTGACACTCTCATGTGGTCTGTGAATTTCTGGCAGTGCTGGAGAACCACAACGCTGAGGTCATAAACCAGCATAAAATTACAACCGCGACTACATGAATTTGAGTAACGTGCTGCTGGCACAAAGTTAAAAGACTGACTTCTTCAATATGTCACTTTACAGATAGGCCTCGGCTGAAGCGCGTTGACTGACACACAAGCGCCAATGCTGCAGAACTTCAGATGTGGCATCACACCACACTGCCGCTAAGTGACACAGACCCCATCGTGCTGTCAGCACTGCGAAGCTTGAGGTATGAAAATGTTAAGGAAAGTGAAAAATAAATAAAAGCAGTTCTAATAGGATGCGGTCAAACATTCGCAGCTGCCAGAGGAATTGCTTTATTTATGACTTTTTTCACTTCACATCCTGGTGTAATAGAGCTTCTGTCATCAGAGTAAATGAACACGGGGGCTGCACACTGAACCTGAAGTGCTGTGAAAATAATGAACAAATTCTGTTTCTCGGAGGAGTTCGCTAGTCTATTTGAATTCCTTTAAGGAAATGCGGAATCGCTACAGAGTCCAGAGATGGAAACTGCCACTCCTCATTTGCCCGACGGAGTTGAACACTTAAGAAAACCTGGCAAGCAGATACACCTGGAGCTGATATTCAGAGATCCTCACTGACAAGAGCCCTTATTAGACTGCCCACAGCGTGGGTTAGCCGCTGGAGAGCTAAGGGTCTGGACATATGGAGAAGTTCACACAGGGAGGTTACTGCAGCACCAGCATCAGAAACATTATTTAATTCCACTGAAACAGGAGATTCTTTGACTTTGATAGAAAGCTTCGCAGTAGCCATTATAAAAGTGCTGTCTTCTTTATTTTGTTCCCTGGAGTCATTCCGTGCTGCTGTGCATCTAAGAGATCGACATCCTGGACAATTCAAGCTGTTCATTCGTCAAATTGAAAACCCCATGTTGGGGAACACAATTTTCTGTATAGGCTTGCACATACACTGCTCAAAATTGATATATTTCTATACATCTATATATCAAATCTATATATATATATATATATATAAGGAAATTCTTAGGAAAAAAACTTATTACATATAGTTTATTCTGCAGAACTGTTAAACAAAGATTAGTAAACCAATGATTTAAAAATCCTGCTTCTGACACTTATTATACAAACAGAAAAACTTACTAATAATTAAAAAATGCCAAAATACCAGATATAGCAGTCCACTACTATTCAGTGTGAATAGGTTTTTATTTGTTCTATTAGAAACAAAGTTGTTTACAATCCTCCAAGCTACTACATGCTGCACAAAAAAGCTTGAATTCTGTCTTTGAATAAAAAAATATTGCGTAATTTTGTTAATCTAATCAATGAAATTACTTCCAAAAAAGTTTTAGTGAAGGCTTTTTTGATTTTGTCAGTGATACCAAGAATACAAAAAAATGTTCATAGCAATAATTAAACATATTGAAAATTATGTAAAAATAACATTGTAAGATATAAATAATGCATTAAAATGCTTTTTTGAAAACTATAATATGACTATATTTCCAATCAAAAATATGACTGATTTCCAACATCACAGATTGACCTCCTTGAGCTGCACAAGCTAAAGCAGAACAAGCAATAAACACCGATTTACAATGGTTTAATTAACCCCCTCAAAAGGATCTACATATATGTAACTCAATTATGAAATTATGCCTATGCCTAAAACAAACAAACCAAAATATATAAAAAATAAGATATCCATGAGCAGCTGTATATTCTATTTTACAGTTTTTCAAAAAGAAGTATCTATAAACACCACTAAACATCACATAAATAAAGCAAACCAATGTTGGGAACTTGACATGTCAATCAGATGGTGCCTGTCTGTGTAACAGGCAGATCTTGGGCAAAATGATCTGCAGTGTTGACCAGACTTTATGCACATAGCTAAAAGTCCAGTAGTCCAGAGTGTACATACTCAAGAGATGTGCTAAGGCATTCAAGGATGTAGCTGGATTTCAATCAGACTGTGCACTGCATGACAGGTGTCTCTTAAGAGTGCTGCCAGACTGTAAAAAGAGTTCCATCCTGCCCTTGAATACAGAAGAGAGGGATATAGATCACTATGCAATGATCTTTAACTGGCCAGTAAACTGGAGCTGTCTGAACATCAGCATAGAGAAAAATGCCCCTTCTCATGGTCAGAGTGGAACAGACCTCGATATCCATGCATCAATATGCTCATTCTTGGGAAATAAAGCAGAAACAGAAGAAATGCCTAGTCCTCCAGAGCCCAATTAACTCTGGAAAAAGCCCAACACGTGCCCAAAAATCCTTTATCACCCTGTCAGTCTCTTTCTTAGGTTTGGGCTGAAGGTTAAACAATAGAGTGAAGGAGACACTTCACGCTAAATTTAACCAGACTTCTCATCAACATAATTATCAAAATCAAGATGCCATTAGCTATGATTACTCGCTTCTTTGCTACACAAATTTGTTTTACCTATAAATACTGGGTAATTAAATTTCGCATAGCAGCATTGTATTCAAATGAGAAAGCTGCTCTTCTGAAAATGAGGTCAAACCAAATTTGTATAATAACACAGAGGCCCTCTATAGTCATTGAGTCTGAAATAATGAATTCACAAATGAAAAAATAATAAGACACTCTTTCTCATCCCCCAAAACATCTGATTGTGTCAAATTGCATCAATTAGTTTATCAACTGAGGTGCGGAGAAAATCAAATAAGAGTATTTGACACTGGTGTTAACTTAACATCACTCATCTGATGTGTTTTTAAGAATTATGAGAAAAATATCTGATTCTAATTACACCAGTTTCAAACACCCGCACCTTTCAGACCTGTGTGTCAATTCTCCTCAGGAACATTAATTAGTTAACTTAACTGGATTCTTCCCAGCCTCCTTCATATATCCACCCATAATCTATTATGACACAATAATAAAACACGCAAAAAGGCTGCAATTAGTTTCACAGGTTGTAAAGATGGGCTATTAAGGTCTCACTAAGGCTTCATCAAGTTCACGTTACTGGATTCCTCATCTTCATGGCATCTCTCATAAACTACAAAGCTTGGTTAAAATGGGTCAGACTAACTGATCTCCAAAGCATGCTGCTGAGAGAAACACGTTCAGACAGCTCTATAACCACATATCAGCTAGTGTAATGCACTGATGAAACAGTGTGACACGGACATGACATGAAGTAATGTGTTTGGCTGCTCTTAAAAGCCTTTCCTTTATTAGATCACTCTCAATAATAGAATGCTTTAAAGGTATACAAATCATCAAGAGTTCTAATGGAATAAACAGACACTAGCTAAACATTTTTACATTACCAACTTCTGTAAAAATAATGCAATCTTTTTGCTACGGGTGGATATTAGAATCCTTCTGATATGACAATTTATTAGCGGTGCTGTCTAAAACAGCACTATTACTGTTACTTATGCTTTATTAAACACCCTTAAACCAGTGTATTACCCTCATGGTGTGCAACTTGGCCTGCTTACTAAACGTGTTCACATTCACTTAAATATTTGTTTTGAACGGTAGTGTACATACACATACAGACATTTTCAAATAATGCAATTCCAATAAATACAAGAATTGTGATTATATACCTTGCGAGTTGATGCAAGCCACAGTTTGAGTCTTGGTTCCATTTCCACAGTTCCCTTTGGTGGGCACACAAGCGCCCTCAGACTGCACCTGCCACACGAAGCACACTGGATCCTCACAGGGCATTGACTCCAGGAGATGGGCACAGTTTTCTGTTCCTGATCCTTCCTCCAGCACCTCTCTCCTCCTCTGCTTGTAGCCTGGGAACAGAGCGAGAGACAGGTGGATTAGGGGTATTGTGAGGGAAATGAGTGCCAGTTCTGGCCAGTGAGTTCTGAACTAAAATTCTAGCGGTGACTAAATAAGCCTGTAATAGAAACTCATTTGAAAAGGCTTTCTGTCACAGCTTTTGTTAGCAGAATAAATTCCTACTCCTGCTCTGCTGTAATTTGCCTGAATACACTCTTTTCATTTACTCATTTGTAAAGCTATGAGCTATGACTTTAAACTGAGATGCCAGTTATAAATGAAATAGCACTGGAATATGAAAATTTAACAGCTAAATGTACTGGTTAAACATGAAGGCAAAACTGTTCTCATAAAAAAAAAAAAATACATGCATTGTGCTGCTAGAAAGATCATCATCGTATTTTAATTCAAGTCCTTCAGTGAAAAAAAATGTAAATTCTTAGGCCAGCCTTAAATTAATATTTCATAAATTGGCATACGTTTTCAAAGGCAGCTCTGGCCGACATCAATATGCATTACAGTATAGTGAATAAGCGGGAAAAAAAGATGAATCAGGCATTACTCCAAGCATAATTTATCAAACAAGATGATCTGATGACTAACATGAGGGTGGGATGCTAGCTGTCTGGATACCATCTGATCCTGTTTACGGTCTGTGATGAGTAGATACTAACTCCTCATATCTTTGCTCCTTGACTATGTGCATGCCAGTAGTGAGATTTTGTTCATCTCACACCCCTGCAGGGGGCTTGACTCAGCAGTCCTGGGAAAATCATAGTGTCAGCCAAGCCTTTGAAATAATCAAAACACAGCTCTCAACATCGCTTTGACACAAAGAACGGTAAACTCTATAAGACATGAGTGTATTGTGTGATGAGAGATCTGAATGCATCACATATATAATTCAAACTTTGGGGTATTACCAGTTTGCTTCACTTATCACAAAATAATTAAGAAGACATAAATAACACCCTATATCTAAGAACAGACATACTGTATATTCTTGTTTGTTCAAAATTATTTTCAAGCTATCCATCATCCATAAAGCCTTCATATTTGTTATACTGACACTTATAACTTTTACTGTCATCTCAGGAGGGTGTCATATAAAAGAGAACAGCTCTAAAATAAAGTGAAAAATAAAAAATGCCTCAAAATATTTTTCCTGTATTAAATATATTAAAAAATCCATTATAAAAATACAAAATATTCAATTTTACACACACACACACACACACACACACACACACACACACACACACACACACACACACACACACACACAATATTTCAATATATACTTCAGCCCATGCACTAAAATGCATGTTTTGTTCATTGAAGACACAACATGACAGACTGAAGGTGTAGGAAACAACTTCCTGCACCTCTGAGTGTCAAAAGCAGCATTCCTCTTTTGTAGATGACAACAGCAAAACCCCAGGACAATAAAAGAACAAATTACAACTACACATCATTCTGAAACTACACCTGAGCAGCATTGTGGAGGACATACTCCCATGGAGAACATGCATGCAGACACAGTTCACACACAAACAGCCCTGTTTCTGGACCAAAAGGAATGCCTGGATGGCCAATGCCCTCCTCCAAACTGTGAAAAACAATTTGGTGGAGACACATCCCAGCGGATATTAATAATTGAAAGGTTCACGGGAGCTATCAGATTTATTCATGGGAAAGACTGGTGGGCTGCAGGCAGCATTTCACTTCCAATACTTCAGAACCTTATCAGTCCCACTTCAATGCTCCCTACTCACATTAATGCTGGATAGAATTTGCCACTTACAATCATTACGAAGCCGGTGTTCAATTCATTCCTCCACACATGCTTGCATTCACCCAAGATGACACAAAGAGGATAAAAAATGACTGTGGGCAATTGTAGATTTGTAATGCACTAGAAATGTTAATAAAACAACTAAAAAACAAATCCACGAGGCTCCTCTGATGAAATCTGTTTGTATGTTTAGGAAAGAAGTTCATTTTTCTATTTATGAAAGCTCTAGGCTCTGCATTGTTCATCCAATATCAAAAGATCAAACGATACTCTGAAACAGCAGTGAGGTGAAGGGCTTGAAAACAGTAAACAGACTCTTGTCTAACAAGGTGCAGTCTAAGCAACGAATAAAAGAGAATCTAGACACCCTAACTATCAGACAGTCCCACTGGGACAACACATCACACAATCTTCTAGACAGCACTCAGTTTACATGAAAAGCAAATCCTTCTCAGATGGGTTTCGTGCAAAGAAAAAAGTGACCTCTGATATGTCTCAAGAGTTTCAGAAGAAATCTTAATGTCTCAAACTGATTTGCCAAAATATCTGCAAGTGTGCAATCCGAAGTTAGAGATTTCAGTATGAACTCATCAAATTCTTTTTACATTTTGTAGCTCACTCTAACTTCTATTTATTATTTAATAATTATATCATTAAATAATTTAATACCAAAAAAATGTAAAATAAAAATAAATAAATACAATATTTGATTATTTCTCACACACACACACACACACACACAGTGAATAATATTTATAATTTATAACTTTCTGATGCAATATATTTTAAAATGTAATTTATTTGTAATTTATTCTTTCAATCTTCAGTGTCACATGATCCTTCAGAAATCATTCTAATATGTCGATTTGGTGATCAAGATTTTTTTATCAATGTTTCTTTTTTTTTTGTGGAAACTGAGATACTTTTTTCAGGATTATATGATGAATAGAAAGTTCAAAAGAATAGCATTTATTTGAAATAGAAGCCTTGTACCATTGTAAATGTCTTTACTGCCACTAAGTAAAATTATTGCATCACATTATATCATATTATTTTTTACATTTTGAACCTCATAATTCAGATTACCTCTAGTCAAGAATATTCATCTTGTTTCAGTAAAGCAGGTGAATGATGAAAGTGCATCACTGTTTTAAAGCTGGGATAATTCTTACATCTCTTCCCATGAGTCATTTCTGAATGAAAGCACCACTTATGTATGACTGATCTGTGTGACATCAGTCTACCCTCTGCTAAATTCTCTCATTATAGGGCAGTACTCTGGCAGCTCGTTTCAGTGACAGATGTTATCACCTCTCACCAGAAGAGGTGTCAGTTTTAGATACTCTGTTACCTCCGGGTTCAGCTCAGTGGAGAGGTGTACCAATCATCAATTTTAAATGCATATTTAAAGTGGATTTTATAGCTTCTATTAATAAAAGGGGCAGAATGTTTTTTTTTCTCCATTGATGACATTTCATTCCCATGTTGGCCCACCTTTTCGTCCATGTGTTTCCATGCAGTTGTCGTGGAGACAGGCCCCCCATGAGGACCAGGATGAGAGCAGGCACAGCTGTGGGCATGGTATGGAGCAGGGCTGCACTGCAGAAGGCAAATCTCCTGTACACAGACGCCCACTTACTGGCCTAGACACTATAGAGGTATAAAGAGAAAGAATCCATATGTTGGGTAAATTTTGTTAGAAATTTTCTTGGCAAAATATAATTCAGCTTAATAAGTATAATTTTCTGATCTTTCCTGCTGAGCACCAACTCCAACACAGAATAAAATTAATTTCAAAGCCTATGTATACCAATGCAAGCATTTAGCTTAAAGTACACGAAACAGATTATCGAATAAGAAAAAAATATAGGGAAGAGACTTGGTTTTATCCATCGGTTGTTGATTGGATGTCAGATCTGAATGCGAGCTTCCAGCTGATTGTAAGAAAGTGACTTAAACGGACTAAATGATTGGAGAAATCTGATATACGTCTGTCATTTCACAGGAAGAACAAATTATGACATTCTGAATAAACATTACAAAGTAAAAAAAATGGAACATGCATGGATAAATTGTCTACAATAAGATCAATAATATGCATTCAGAAAATAGATATTCAAGATATTCAAGGCGAAAACTGGCAACTGAGACAATTTTATCCATCAGAAATGTGTTCAAGTGTGAAATGAGAGGGTTACATACCAAAATGAAGCCAGGCTTAATATGAATTTGTTAAAACAATCCATAAATGCCTATTTGGCTGTTGATTAATGTTATCCAATAGCCTGCATGGTCTAAGAGATACCAATGGAAAAGTAAAGTTGTTTCAGAGGACAGGAAAGTTAATACAATTTGTTTTTGTTCAAGAATAAAGTGTACTGGATGAATAGTTCCCAATAAAAACCAGGAACATGCAGTAAGAAAGTAAAACGATTTTGCACTGACTTTGAATTGCATTGATTCTCAATGTGACTTTTGTCAAACAAGTGTTCAAAAGTTTAGCCGCAAACCTCTTAAAAGTCTCTTACTTTGCCTGTGCTCTGTTAACATTAGTGTGAGAGTCCTCTGGGTCAGGTGGAAAGCAAACACCACTGTTGATTTTCATTGATCTATATCCCCAAACAACATTGATTGAAAGGAGTCATCTTCATCTGTATGCCTTTCTCAGCTCAGCATGCCTCGAATCCATCCATACGCTGCTTTCACTGGTTAGTGCATCTCCTCGAAATTAATTTCAGAGCAAGGTGACTCCCTTTAACTACCTCTAATCTTAGAAACAGGCATGGTTACACACAACCAATGCAAATGGCTAACCAAAAGACTTTTTGATCAGAATTTCTCAAACCAAAATGAATTAGCCTTTGAAAATCAACATATCTGCAGCTGAAAAGATGCACAGAATTCGCTTAGCCACACCACTGTAGCTTACTGTCATTTAGACACTGATCCTTACCCTCTTTTCTGTGATGAGGGGTGGAGTTGTCTGGGACCTGGACGCAGTACAGCTGCCTGGTCTGAATCCCTCCACCGCAGAGAACGCTTACATTGTTAAGCCGTCTGTCCTGCTGGCTGAGAAGAGGGGCCACTTGACAGTCCCCCCAATCTGTGCTCTTCCACACATACCTGGAGAACAAAAGTTGTTTGTTTTGGCCCTATAGTCTCATTATATCGTGCTGGGTTCCTCTCAAGAGTTGCATTGGATAAATGGACACAGTGAGCTGCCACTGAAAGATAATAATAGGCTTAGCTTCCTGCTTTCTGGTAGGAAACCATCTACTAATGAAAATGCATTAACTAAGCAAAGTGTTATGATGCATAAAGCAGCGGTTTTAATGAAATAACAGTCTGCTGCTATTGATCAAAAACCTAATCTAATTAATTAGCTTCTTCTAATCTTTGCTATGCTCGGCTGCAACAGAGGTTCAGTAAATAAATACTTGAAAAATCATTTAGTACATTTTTTACACTTTCACGTACAGTAGGAAATTAATTATTATTGGGAGGCTAGAATACAAACCTAGGGCAGTTTGGAAGTAAGTCTCCGATGATGTTGCAGGCTTCCTTTTCTTCAAGAGCGGCACATTCTTTGCCTAGTCCAATAGGAGTCTGCGTTATGCTTCGAGTCCTGACTCGAAAACCAGGCGACATATCCGATGCCCTACATGTCTTTGAACACGGACTCCAAACGGACCAATCAGAGGTCTCGCAGTCTCTGGGCATAATGCACGACTGGAATGTTCCAGGGCCGTTTTCAAGTGTACAAAGACTAAGAACAAGAAAACAAACAAATTAGTAATGAGAGGCGCAAGGAAAACATATTCAAACATTTCAATGCTGCCAAAAAGAGCAGATGAAAGTCTATGTCATTTAAAGTTGAAAGCACACAGTGAGAATATGTTTTATGAGATAAATGCCATCAATTGTTCCTCTACTGCTACTATTTAATAGAGTGTAATGAATGCAATTTGTGATTCATTTAAAACAAACTTACAAAACTCCCACAAAATATTCTGAATCCATAGCAACATAGCCAACTTTTCAGTGCATCATTTGCATATTTAATAATATGAGTAGAGTATCTGTGGCAAGAGAAGACTAAATTAATAATTAGTCCGAGATGTTCAAATTTTCTTAATATGCTGCAATGCTCGAGTGATGGTACAGCAAACGAGTGCATCTGATTTTTTATTTTTTTTTGCATAGCAGATACCAGACAGTGTAATGTATGTAAAGTGAAGGATATTCAAATTAGTTATTCACCTTTGTGTCCTACGAAGCAATGTCTGCAGTATGAAATATGAATAAATGCACAACAAATTGGATATCTAATTGGCGATTCATCCATATAAGTCACCCGATTCAATTACTTGTTTATATCCTAATCCGTTTGTGTAGCATTCATTTTCACTTCATTTTCAATGATAATTAGACTATAATTGGAAAAACTGCAAAAATTGAACTCAGGTGGGAAATATTCAATCACTACATTTCATTAAGCATGCACATAGGATTCACAAATGAATATGTTAATTAGAGCGAATGCTCCGTCTCACTGTAAAATAACACCGCGGCCTCTCTCTTGTTATGCTACACCTGTAGTAAACCTGTCAGACTCCATTCTGCTATACATTCCCCCACAACACCCTCCTCCACTTTGAACTGTGAATGAGGATGCATGAGAATCCATATTAAACAAAGATGGAATGAGAAAAGACAGGGAAAAAAAAAACAGAACGGACACCTGCCTTTTCCACAGAAAAATAAATTTCAGTCGCTGAACCAACTAAGATGCATATATAAAACATACATATGCTGAGAGAATACAGTCAGGTCTTGCTGCCAGACATAGATTTGCTCTCAGTGGAAATAATCACAGATGACACAACACCCAAAGAATGCAAAGTTTCACTACGTCAACTCTAATTTCATACGTTTTTGTCTTCATAAGCCAATGACAGGTGACAATGCCAAACGCGTGAATAATGAAGATATTTGTATGTCAAAGCATAGCAGCCTCTTTTCACCTGACATGTGGATTAACAAGGGATGATCCCCATTTTACAGTCGGTTTAAAGTGGCACATCAAGAGCTGTTGCTTTACGTTCTTATAGTTACACGGTTCTTTGCACTTCATATAAGGCCGTAATCCACCCATACTACAGATATTAATCATATTTACTGTATATAATTACATAATTTACATACAATTTTATTTCTAGAAAAATTGCATCTAAAATTTTATATATACTCTATATAAACTTCCTAAGGAGAAAATGGGCATTTCAGCAATATATTTGACAGGAATCATTTTAATCATTTCTATAACTGCAAATTATAAGACCCATAATAATAAATGATTCCTTTAGATTTGTCTAAATTTAGTGTGAAATAATTCCAGATAATGTTTGTCTGTCAGTACACTATCCGCTCTCTATGTTTGATTGAGAGCTGTCTTTTCTTTCTTCTTTTCAATGCAAAGGTTATTTTTCAAATCAATTTTCATGATAAATAAAAAACCATTTGCATAGCTTCAGAAAGTGACATATCTATGCATCCCTTTATGTTCTTACCTGTTTGCACAATTCTATGCCATTTTGTAGTATAAATAGTGTATTGTAGTGAGCACAGTAGTGTGCCCACTCTACTGTGAAAAAGTGCACAAAGGATGCAATTATTTAACCAAAACAATGAAGTGTAGAATGTTAGACACTTCATGCACTCAACTGTCAAAAGGGGAGGTGTTATTAGACTCCGATTCTGAATGACAACATAAGCTTCTAAAATTCATATACAAGTGCATAATAAAAGTGCTTAGTGCATAATAGGTAGTGGTCGATCGATATTGTCTTTTTGACAGCCGATGCCGATATCTTGGAAAGCATGGCCAATATAAAGCCGATATAATTTTATTTATTTTAATTAATATTTAATGAAATGGATGCATTGAAAATGGATTAAAAATACATGTGTAAAATAAACATACTTATACTTAAAAGTATTTTTCACAAATAAATAAATATTTAATAAAAATATAATTAAAAAGGATGTAAACACTGTAACCAACAGGGCACTTATTCTGGGAAGTTTGTGTGCATTGGAAATCATATTTTTATGATTCGTTTACCCTTAAGGTAACACTTTTTAACACATTTTACATACAGCACACAGTGGAAATGACATGAATATGGCAAGTGGGCAAAAGCATAAAGCTTTTTAAAATCACGAGTTTAAAGTTTGTCGATCGCACGTCTCCAGTAAAACTGAACTCTCCTCCTGTCTGCATTCAAATCGCACAGACCGACTGTCACGCACAGAACACGTGATCCTGCAGGATACAAATGCACACTTTATCTCACAGCTGGATCCGACTCCGATGCAAGGTTTGTGAAATTAAATGTTCATTAGTCATTCAAAAATGTGTTTAAATTATATAAATGTGTATTTGCTGAATGCTGACGGCAAATGAGAAAGTATTGTAATGTTTGCCTTTCTATTACTAATAATATAAAAGCAATTGTTATAATACTTTTTGTATACATTTTAATTCCTTTGTTTAACAGTTCTATCTGATTATTAAATAGACTTCTATCCGTATTAGACAGAACTGTAAACGACAACAGTGAACAAGAGGGAGAATGTGAGGTAGTGATGTGTTGTTCATGAACGAGCCGGCTCTAAGAGCCGATTCTTTGTAGCGAATGTGAAGAGCCGACTCCCTGTCGGGGAGAGCCGAATCTTCAGCCAGAGCCTTCTATTTTTGCCCAATTTAGCAATTGTGTATGGTTTGTGTGTTGGTAAGCAATTTTGTATTCAGTGTTCTCATAAAAGCCTTATTTTATGCATTTGTTTTCATTACAAAAAAAATTAAACAAATAAAACAGCTAATCACATGGGAGGATAGGATCATACCATTATGTGAAAAAAGGAAGGGTTGATGGAAGTATGTGGCAGGACGTATGGAATAAAGAGTCAAAAGGGAGACACTTATTTAGTGTGCAACAGAAAGTGGGGATTGAAAGAAAGGTATATGGAAACAGAAGAGAAGATACTGTTATAACCAGGATCCGTATAGGACACTCTAACCTTAATTATTCATTGCATATAATAGGAAAAAGTAAGTCAGATAGCTGCAGTTACTGTGGAATAACAGAAACAGTTGAACATGTGCTCTTACATTGTGAGGCATATAATAGACAAAGAAAGCAACTTGTTGAAAAACTAAGAGATATGGAAATCAATGACATTTCAGTTATGAATATATTTCAGAATGCACAGAAACATCTAAGGGATTATGGTTTTCTTCTAAAATATCTGAGAGATACAGATTTGATTAGAAGAATTTTTATATATTAGTAGTATATAAAATGTTCGTTCATCGAGGCCCCACACTCCATCCTAGTAGGTGGCGGAAATGCACCTTAAGCTGGTTTGCCAACCTCCATTAAACACAAAAGAAGAAGAAGAAGAAGAAGAAGCAGGAAGGGGGATACATGCTCCGAAGATAGCGAGTGTAGTGGTAAAGACCAGGTACACAGAGTGACAGAGAGAGACGGGGGATCCGGATTTAAACGCAAGCACGTTGGTTAAGGTAGGAAGACACTGCATTGTTGCAGCATCGGTCCCCTCAGAGAGAGTCTTCTCTAAAACAGGACAAATAATCACAGAGAGGAGAAATCGCATCAGACTAAAGTGTCTTAATGTTAAAACTTTTGCCTTATTTATTTGATTTGTTTGCTGTGGTTCTGTGTTCAATTGTTCAATTAAAGTTCTATTAAAATGTTAAATAATAGTAACTGTATTTTTTGTAACGAAAAAATGCATAAAAATAAGGCTATTATAAAAACACTGAATAAAAAATTGCTTACCAACACACAAACCATTCACAATTGCTAAATTGTGCTAAAATAGAAGACTCAGAGGTGATACTAAATGAAGAGCCATTTAGGAGCCGTAAGAGCCGGCTCTTCTAAGGGAGCCGAGCCAAAAGAGCAGAATCTTTGAAAAGAGCCGGACTTCCCATCACTAATGTGAGCATTGTGTGCTCAGGCGCCGTTCTCAGCGGCGTCAAAATAAAAGTCTGTTGCGCCATCAAAATAAAAGTTGCACTGGCCAAACAGGAAAACTTATCAGCCGATATATCGGTCGACCACTAATAATAGGGGTGTCGAAATTAATAATTTCTATGATGCATCGCGATGCAGACGAGGACGATTCGGTATCGGTTCAGTAATAGACCATAACCGATTATAACGTACTGATGCTTTTCTGATGTCATTTGTTGCATACGTGCTTTGTCGCGGTAACATACAATGGCGGATGGAGGCGAGACACAAGTGCGAGTAATTAAAAATGCTCCAACTAATTTAAAAGCCGACATCTGGGCACATTTCGGCTTTTATGAACAACCTGTTTATCACGACCTGGAGAAGACACACGCTGTGTGTAAATCATGTCACGCACAAATAAGAGGTAGTGATGTGTTGTTCATGAACGAGCCGGCTCTAAGAGCCGATTCTTTGTAGCGAATGTGAAGAGCCGACTCCCTGTCGGGGAGAGCCGAATCTTCAGCCAGAGCCTTCTATTTTTGCCCAATTTAGCAATTGTGTATGGTTTGTGTGTTGGTAAGCAATTTTGTATTCAGTGTTCTCATAAAAGCCTTATTTTATGCATTTGTTTTCATTACAAAAAAAATTAAACAAATAAAACAGCTAATCACATGGGAGGATAGGATCATACCATTATGTGAAAAAAGGAAGGGTTGATGGAAGTATGTGGCAGGACGTATGGAATAAAGAGTCAAAAGGGAGACACTTATTTAGTGTGCAACAGAAAGTGGGGATTGAAAGAAAGGTATATGGAAACAGAAGAGAAGATACTGTTATAACCAGGATCCGTATAGGACACTCTAACCTTAATTATTCATTGCATATAATAGGAAAAAGTAAGTCAGATAGCTGCAGTTACTGTGGAATAACAGAAACAGTTGAACATGTGCTCTTACATTGTGAGGCATATAATAGACAAAGAAAGCAACTTGTTGAAAAACTAAGAGATATGGAAATCAATGACATTTCAGTTATGAATATATTTCAGAATGCACAGAAACATCTAAGGGATTATGGTTTTCTTCTAAAATATCTGAGAGATACAGATTTGATTAGAAGAATTTTTATATATTAGTAGTATATAAAATGTTCGTTCATCGAGGCCCCACACTCCATCCTAGTAGGTGGCGGAAATGCACCTTAAGCTGGTTTGCCAACCTCCATTAAACACAAAAGAAGAAGAAGAAGAAGAAGAAGCAGGAAGGGGGATACATGCTCCGAAGATAGCGAGTGTAGTGGTAAAGACCAGGTACACAGAGTGACAGAGAGAGACGGGGGATCCGGATTTAAACGCAAGCACGTTGGTTAAGGTAGGAAGACACTGCATTGTTGCAGCATCGGTCCCCTCAGAGAGAGTCTTCTCTAAAACAGGACAAATAATCACAGAGAGGAGAAATCGCATCAGACTAAAGTGTCTTAATGTTAAAACTTTTGCCTTATTTATTTGATCTGTTTGCTGTGGTTCTGTGTTCTATTGTTCATGCGCCATCAAAATAAAAGTTGCACTGGCCAAACAGGAAAACTTATCAGCCGATATATCGGTCGACCACTAATAATAGGGGTGTCGAAATTAATAAGATTTGTTTGCTGTGGTTCTGTGTTCAATTGTTCAATTAAAGTTCTATTAAAATGTTAAATAATAGTAACTGTATTTTTTGTAACGAAAAAATGCATAAAAATAAGGCTATTATAAAAACACTGAATAAAAAATTGCTTACCAACACACAAACCATTCACAATTGCTAAATTGTGCTAAAATAGAAGACTCAGAGGTGATACTAAATGAAGAGCCATTTAGGAGCCGTAAGAGCCGGCTCTTCTAAGGGAGCCGAGCCAAAAGAGCAGAATCTTTGAAAAGAGCCGGACTTCCCATCACTAATTTGAGCATTGTGTGCTCAGGCGCCGTTCTCAGCGGCGTCAAAATAAAAGTCTGTCGCGCCATCAAAATAAAAGTTGCACTGGCCAAACAGGAAAACTTATCAGCCGATATATCGGTCGACCACTAATAATAGGGGTGTCGAAATTAATAATTTCTATGATGCATCGCGATGCAGACGAGGACGATTCGGTATCGGTTCAGTAATAGACCATAACCGATTATAACGTACTGATGCTTTTCTGATGTCATTTGTTGCATACGTGCTTTGTCGCGGTAACATACAATGGCGGATGGAGGCGAGACACAAGTGCGAGTAATTAAAAATGCTCCAACTAATTTAAAAGCCGACATCTGGGCACATTTCGGCTTTTATGAACAACCTGTTTATCACGACCTGGAGAAGACACACGCTGTGTGTAAATCATGTCACGCACAAATAAAACATGCAGGGGGTAATACCACTAATTAATAAAACTAGTTAATATTTACAGTAAATGTTTTACAAGAAAGTGCACTGCACTATATAAGTACTAATGTACACTCCTTGCAATATGCACTTTTAGTATTTACTTTTGTGTATTTGTTCTAAATGCTTCTGTTGTCTTCTGTGCCCGTACTTGAGTTTTGTTTGATGTTTGATACATTCAAAAAGCGTGATTTCTTTGAGCAGGTAAAATTGAAGGTTCAGTTCATATATCTGACTGCTTGTATTTATTGACAAGACTGTATACATGTGAAGTAAAATTGAAAATTGAGGATGCAGTGCATCGTCAATGCATCGTGATATCGAATTGAACCGAATCGATGACATGATAATCGTAATCTAACTGAACCGTGAGACCAGTATAGGTTCACAGCCCTAATGCATAATAAGTCATTTGGTACATATCTTGAATATATTTTAATCACATTAAACAGCTGAAACACACAGAAATCAATGCATCTTTTTTCCCCCCTGTCCCTGCCCTATCTATATATATTAGTAGGCATAAACTACCTTGGATAGCAAGCGGCAGCAGACAGCACCATATCACAGGTAAAATACAGCAAAGACATGAAAGTCTACATTTGAGACTTAAAACCTTTATCGGGAGTGCCTGCCTGCAAATCAATATTTTGCAAAGGAGGCATCTTTAAAGTCATGTACAAAGCCTGCCTTATTTCCAGCATTCGTTATCCTCATTTTGCGGGAAATCCATACTCTTTGTGAGAGGAGGATGAGCTACATCTCAGCGACTTCTAATTCTACCAAGAGCTAAATGAAAATAAAGCACAAACTACAGCGTAACAGTGATTGACCGTCTTTCCAAACTCATACTATGGATGCAGAGATTGCAGCAAAAGAGTAAATTTAATCCTTTCCATCACGCCATAGTGTGTTCTGCTCAAAGGCCCGGCTCTGCCGTGCTGCCTTCGCGGCTGCCAGAGGCATGTCTCTCTGCTCACCTTGTATAGTACAGCAGCAGGAAGGAGATTAATGGAGGACTAACCGATTTAGCTAGGCCCACTTCACAGAGCTGCTTCAAAAATCCAGCTGCACAGCAATTCCTTTCACACAAGCAGCAGCAGTATCTTGCTTTCAAGAGCATAATCTGGGATTTAGACCTTAAAAGGGTTTATGTTCTCAGAGGGTTTGTCTCTCAGGCATGCATTGCTTGTACACAGATTATTGTGAATTGAATAGACACGCCAGATGCGTCTGCGTACGTTCAGGGCTTCTTACCTCAGCATGGCGTTCTTGCCATCGCTACGCACGCAACGAACTTGGCGCGTTTGGTAGCCGATCTCCACATCCAAGCCCTTGAGGCTGTGGTGGTGGTGGTGGAGATGGTGATGGTGGTGCTGGGAGCTCTGGATGTGTCGTTTGACAGTGTTCCTCTCCGTATCCCCTGTGGAAAAGTCCAGCATGGTCCTTCCGCTCATCCAGAGCCCTTTGTGTTGCGGCTGCCTGCACTCGCTCCAGGGGCCGACTTTAAGGCTGTAGTGATGCTCGCTTTCCCCAACCGGACAGGGCGAAAGGTTCGCACAAGTCCTTGTTTGGGTGAGGTTGGGGCAGTTAGCGCCTCCGTACATCGGCGCCGCTAAAACTTGTCGGGTTCGATGCTGGAGACCCGTGCCACATGTTTGACTGCAGCCAGACCAGGAGGAGAAATCAGATACGATGCAGTCATGAGGGCAGGGGATCAAGCAGGCCTGTTCGAGCGCCAGCCGTGGGGAAAAGAACTCACATATCCTCTCTGGAACCGCCGTGCGGTTTGAGGTGCGCACGCAGTGGACCTTCCGTCTCTGGATGCCATGCTGGGCTGTGACGCACTCTGTCGTCCTCGGTTTGAGCTCGTTGGAATGGAATGATGCTAGAACGCACGGCCCCCATTCTGAAACCTCCCATTCGAAGAGGTCCTGGTGCCACTCACACACTTTAAAGCAAGGCCTCTGGCTCTCGGGTTTGTCGGAGTGCTGGCAGTTGGAGTGGTGCGTGGTCCAGCCTTCTGAGTGGATGCACCACACTGTTCTGGATTGAACCCCGCCAGTTCCACATTCTTCTCCCATACACCTGCCCCACTGACCTGGAAAAGGGGAGATGAAAGAATAGACATTAGCTCTTTAACTTTAAGGATAATTTATTCACTGACATACATAGTTATATAACTCATAGCCATGAGCTTCACCCAGTGAGCGCACATAAATTAACAGGACATATGTGGTAGAGTGCATCATCTGGAAAGTGTTCTGTTTTAATGGATTAGTTCAACCAAAAATAAATGTCTGTCATCATTTACTCACCTTTACGTCTTTCCAAACCAACATGAATTTCTTTAAAGAAACAGTAACATTTTCACACAATAACACTATAAACTTTGGTTTATCACATAATGCTATCATATAGCTTTAGACTGCCAACTTCAGTGTCCTTTTTAAGCCTAACAGACCCTGGTCTGAGATCAAATCAGATCATATAGTAAATAACAATTTAAAATAACTGTTAATATATATTTTACATGTAATTTATTCTTATGATGACAAAGCTTAATTTTTAGCAGCCATTACTCCAGTTTTCAGTGTCACATGATCCTTCAGAAATAATTCTAACATGCTGATTTGGTGCTCAAGAAACATTTTTTTATATTATACTTAATATTTTGTGGAAATCATGATTTTATTATTTTCAATTCTTTGAATAGAAAGTTCAAAAGAACATTTGTTTGAAATAAAATTTTCTTGTAAATCATAAAAGCTTTCCAATGCAATAGTCTTTACAGTTTTTTTTGGAGCAAACCAGACCCTGGTCAACACAACAGCATCAACATTCTGCTAAACCTCTCCTTTTGTGTTCCACAAAATAAAAAGGCCATACAATAAAGGTTAGAACAACATGAGGGTGAGTAAATAATGACAGAATGTACAATTTCAGATAAACCAAAACTTTAAGTGTTATACTTATGTTATACTTAATGCATATCTGAAAAATGAGTGGATTAACATCCCAAACAACACTGCAAAAAAATCTACTGAGATTGACCAAACAGGAAATATTTTATTAACATATTGTACAGTAGATGCTTAATGTAATGTCCAATAATGAACAAACACATTGAACAGGTATCTTGTACCACATATGTGTTATTAGGGACTACGTATAATAATTTTTTTTTATTATTTTTGCTTTTTGTTTCTTTCTAAATTGATGGCCACATTAAAAGCTCATCTATGCAAACTGAAAATAAAAGGTAAACGAAAAGGGTTTTAAAAAATCCATGCTAGCCTGAAAGCAGAATACTCAGCAACAACATCCTAAACTGCTGAATAGCATTGTAGCTCACTGAAGCACATCATTAAGTTTTTTCATGAGACGGCAACACTGCCACAGGTTTAACACATCACCATGTTTATGTATTTAACTGAAGGAATTACACGTCTCACACACACACTTTCCTATGCCAAAGTGTGCAAAATAGCTAATAACATGTAAACACCATAATTTCACGTTCATTCCCCTAAAGAAGCCAAGCTAATATTAACATTTAAATGCATTTCAATGCCTCCCACAGACTCCTTCCCCTGAGTCTACAGACTGACTACACATGCACAAATGGATCAAGATTGATTTTTTCCTCTGTTATTGTACCTGCATATAAAGCTTCGGGCTAAAACTCACAAGATTCAGTTAGTGAATGCGGCTGTTGGGTTCCTTTAAATTCACACTTGAAGCTGAAGTGTGTAATTTCTGTGTCAGTAACCTCAGAACTTTGCTGCAAAAATAATGACTATTTACAAATAATAGTTTCGCCCCAAACAAACGCTACTGGTTAAGTCAAAGTTGCTCTGTTAAACTAGTCAGGATGTTTTTTTTGTTAGTTTTTTTTTTTACTTATTTTTCAGACTGAAAGTGAATCATCATATAAATGGCTGATATTAACAACAACAACATGCATCTACAAAACCTTTCAATTGAGAAGGCAAATATTATATTGCACAGACCACAGATGAATAACCCTCTCAGTGCAGACACTCTCAACCTCAGAATCATATTCATAAACATTAGAGTGTGAACTACAGCTTGTGGGGCTGTACAGAAACGAGCAGGCACAGACTCAATACGGTTGTTTGTAACGCTGAGCACCCATTTCAGAGTAAAGGATCAAGAGTGGAGCAAATATCTACAATACAGACACTACAAACCCACTCCATGTGGTGAGAGGTGAATAAATCCTATATGGACATCCAAACAGCCCTAGCATGGAAGATACCTGCATAGGGATGTTAGAGAGGTGCTTATTGTAAACATTTACCTTTTCAGAGCTGTGGTCTTACAGTTTGTACAATGTTAAACTGGTGCACAAAATAATTATTGCTTAATCACTTGGGCAGACTGTCTAGTGTTTTTTGCATGCCAGACTGGTTAGCCATTTCACACAAGCAAGTGTTGTTGTTCCACATGTCAACACAGTTGTAATTCAGCTGCAGGTAATCAGAGCTGTGTTGATATTCAGACCATTGCTTTAACAACACAGTTCAATAGGCAGGTAGTTAATAACGAGTAACTTACATGTTAGAAAATATTTTCTCCACCCACAAAAATAGGTCCATATAACACGCAGTATGGCCTTACTGAATGAATCTGTTTTTTTGAATGAATCATTTGAGCAAATTATATAATCAGACTTACCGACTTGCTCAAGGACTAAACTATTAAGCGTTTTTGAATCAATTAGTTGAGTGAATGTTTCAATGACTCACTCAAAGACTGAATGGATTTTTTAATGAATCAGTTGAGTAAATTATTCACTGGCTTGAAAGACTGAATGAACATTTTTGAACGACTCCGTTGAGTGAATGTTCAATAACTCACTTAAAGACAGTCATTTGTTTAATTTCTGAATAAACATTTTTTTTTAAACTAAACGATTGATCGCTTGATTAAAATATTTACTTATAAAGACAGTTGCCGCCACCTAATGGCATAAAGCCGCAGTCACAATAGACTTTGTGCATTCAATTGACACTGAAATTAAGTTCCAAATGTAGGTTCAGGAGGAGCCTAATCATTCAGTCCTGTCAATCATCATTACGAGCCTATAAAAGCAGCTCTCATTGCACCATCCCAGCGTCAATTCTTCCGGCATCCCTCCACCTCCCCATCTCCTCCTCTATTTCTGTTATTCTCCCTCTAGGTAGTACTGCAATGGGAGGTTGAACTTGGCACTCAAGCTGAGCCTCGGGTTCGAGCCTCCATTAAGGACAGCAAGCCGAGTTATAATATGATGTCATGTACAGAATCTAAAAAAAAAAAACAATTCTATAAATATCCAAATTATATAAATAAGAAATCTACTTCAATTTACTGCAATGCTCCAGTCCTACAGATTTAAAATGTACTTTCTTTTAACTCAGCTTTGAGGCCACGCTGATTTTCTATTGGTCATATATCTTATGGGGTACAAATTTGCAGTGTTACCCAAACTAGAACATTGGAATGCAGTAAAATTTCCATGAGCTTGTGTTTCCTGTCTCTCACATGCATATGTGTATGAATGGAAGTCAATGGCATGAAAAGAGTAGAAAAATCCTCATCACTAATGCACAGACTGACAGTTGTCTGGAACAAGCACACGCAGTGTGATCGCACGTTTAAAAGTCACAGTGTATATGTATATTCATATGCATTTGTCAGGTCATATCCAGAATAAGGAGCACCATGGATTGGATATTGTATAGACCAAAAGTCTGGCTATGCAAAACTAATGCACCTTCATCCCACTAGTGCTTTGGGTTAAAGCTTTCAGTTTGCAGAACTGACATGAAATATCCCCAACATGTGTACACACCTGCATACATGCACAGCTGCTGACTGTTGATGATCCAGCCAGCTCATAAAATCAGTGAATCACCGATCTCTAACAAGCCACTCGCTCCTCTCAATCCACTGCACCTGGTCAGGACAAGGTGTTTCCGCACAGACTCATCCCAGCCACTGCGGCTGTTCCAGCACCAGCTGTGCTGTGCGGGTGATTTATAGCAGCATGATTCAGAGTGATTACACTGGCAGAGCAGCAGCAAACACAACAAACCGTTTCTTTCCAGAGATCTACACCTCCAGGGCTGAATAATCACACAGTCCATCACTGGCCAGACCCTTCTCATCACACTGCCCCTCTTTTGGTCTCACCTACAGCTTGTGGCATCGCCCCATTCATTACAGCTTTTGTAACTACATCAAGAGACCGGCAGGGCACTTGACACACCGGGAGGCCTATCTGGCCCATTCCTTTCACTTATATCCTGATCTTTTTGTTTAATATATGTAAAATAATATTCCACTTACATGTTAAAAGATTAATTTAATTTAATTAATACCCAAAAAATGATTTATTCAAATGAGTCATTTACTCATTTTACTCATTGTACAATTTTTGTCAGGGAAATAACAAATTGTAATCATTAAACATACAAAATACATAAAAAAAATGTGTGTTCCAGGGACAAAATAATGTGAATAAATAATTACAGACATTTGACAGATACTATTGCTTAAGATATTCAATGTCTTTTTAACACTGTTCCACTGTTGTTGTATTGTCAGTTGTATTATCATCTTACAGAAGACCCCCCCAGAAGACCTCAGATGTTGCTAACCCTGGAAAAGTTTAATCGCAACATATAATCATTGCAGTTAATAGTGTTCACTGCCTGTTTGGTTACGTGTAATTTGTAACTATCTGCATTATTTTTACTGTACATTTCTGCCAAAGTCACCACTAATAACCTACTCCTAAATATAATGTAGAAACTTGTTTCTGTATTGTAAATTTTCTACATGTTTGTTGCATTTACATTTATGCATTTGGCAGTCACTTTTATATTCAAGATATACATGTCATTGTGCATTCTCTGAGAATTGAACCTATGACCATGGTGTTGCTAGCACCATGCGCAACCAATTGAGCTACAGGAACATTACATTTCATAAGGATTCCCCCACTATTCTCGCATGGCTAAAAAACCCCAGAAAAGTTTGAAAAATTTCCATCCATATGCAAATTATTCTGAGGCTTGAAATTAACTGTTA